GACCCAGAAATCATCGGGGATAGGCCCTCGTGGGACCCAGGCTAGGGCCATGTGCGATCGGGCAAGGAATGAAAACCCAATCATTTCCGTAGGTATGTACGTCCCACACGGTGAATCTCGGAAATCATTTCCGTAGGTATGTACATCCCACACGGTGAATCCCAGAAATCATTTCCATATGTATGTACATCCCACACGGCGAATCCCAGAAATCATTTTCGTAGGTATGTTCATCCCACATGGTGAATCCCAGGAATCATTTTCATAGGTATGTACATCCCACACGGTGAATCCCAGAAAATCATTTCCGTAGGTATGTACATCCCACGCAGTTCTTTGTGTGGAAACGTGTGTGCAAGGTGGCCTAACGCAAACAGTTCGCTGCCGGAAGCCGTGTGTGATTGTTAGTTGATCAAACACGCCTACTTTCTAGAAACCGTGCGGGTTGTTTGAGTTCATCGCCCACGGTGATGTCTGAGTAACCGTTTGCAATAGAAAACCCCAATAAGAAGGGTAATTAGCCTATTATTGATAAGCCATGTACTAATCAAACTGATATTTCTTATAAAACAAGCCAGATATTTCATATCCGTATAAAAGCAAGCAGGATTTCATAATCGAATTACATCAGATAGCTTCGGCACTCAGTTACGCCATTACACAACAACACCAAGTTTCACATGCAGCATTAGAAACCTTTGAAAAGTAGCATCATACACGGTAAATAGACAGATGAATCTCATCTGGGAAACTACAGAAGTAGAAGGCAAATATTAAGCCTTCAGTGATGTTTCATGCTTTGGTTAGGTTTACCTTAATTCCTCTTTCGTAGTTGTGGATGCTTGCGAGGGGGTTAATTATAAGTGGGATGCTTGTCCAAGGAAGGGCAATACCCAAGCACCGGTCCACCCACATATCAAATTATCAAAGTAACGAACGCGAATCATATGAGCATGATGAAAACTAGCTTGGCGATAATTCCCATGTGTCCTCGGGAGCGCTTTCCTTTATATAAGAGTTTGTCCAGGCTTGTCCTTTGCTACAAAAAGGATTGGGCCACCTTGTTGCACCTTGTTTACTTTTGTTACTTGTTACCTGTTATGAATTACCTTATCACAAAACTATCTGTTACCGATAATTTCAGTGCTTGCAGAGAATACCTTACTGAAAACTGCTTGTCGTTTCCTTCTGCTCCTCGTTGGGTTCGACACTCTTACTTATCAAAAGGACTACGATAGATCCCCTATACTTGTGGGTCATCAGATAGCGGCAATCGGGCGGACCGCCGGCTGCTGAGGAGGCAGTGTCGGCTGGCCAGCAAGCGGAGGCGGCAGTCCCTCGCCCTTGGCAATTCTTGTGAGCCAGTGGCATTTCCGAGTGGTGTGGTTGGATGGCTTTGCGCCGCTGTGGAACTTGCATGGATCATCGAGGGTTTGCTAATAGGAGAAGGCGGGCAACCAGGCTGGTTTGCCGCCCTTCGGACACTTGGGGCCGGGCTGACCCTCCGGCTGCTGGTCGCCGACTGTTGCCACCTGTCGGCTGGTAGAAGCCGGCTGCTGGGCCTTGCACTTATTGTCGTTCTGCTGATGGCGCCGACTGTTGTCACCAGCCGGCGTTTGTAGAGCCGGAGGAAGTACTTTCCCAGGCGCGTCCACTCGGAGCTCCGACTTCATGGAGTCTGCGGTGGCGTATTTGTCCGCTATGATGAGTAGTTCGTCGAGTGTAGTCGACTCGTCACAGAGGAGTCGGTGTTTGAGTAGGGTGCCCTCTCGGCACCCGGCTGTGAAGTATTCTATGGATTGCACCTCGTGCACCCCTTCGCAAGAGTTGTGCAGTTCGGCCCACCATGTCAAGTAGTCGCTAGTGGACTTGGTGGGGCCTTGGACGCACAGGGAGAGCTGGCGAGGCTTGGACGGCCACTTGTAGGTGCTAGTGAAGTTGCGGATGAGAAGTCCACCCAGTTGTTGACGCTGTAGGGCTTGAGACTATTCAGCCATGTCCGGGCCGTGCCCTGGAGCATGAGGGGAACGTACTTCATGGCAACACGCTTGTTGCCGTTTGCTATGCTGACGGCGGTGGAGTAGTCAACCAGCCAATCTTCCGGCTTCACGGAGCCGTTGTACTTGGGAGTGTCTCGAGGGAGCGAGAACCCTTTGAGGAAGGGCTCGTCGCGAATGCGGGGGGCGAAACAAGGCGGGCCGATTGCATCTTCTTCTTCAAGCGCCAGGGATCGGGCCAGGCGGTTGATCCGGTGGCAGGCGTCATTTTCTCCTATTCCCTCATGGCGGCCTAGCCGGTCTCCGAGAGTCAGGTGATCAACAGCCGGCGGGGAGACGTGCCTCTCCCTGCGCAGAGGAGGTAGACGATCACCCTGCTGCTCGACTGCTCGAGGGTGACCGTCTTGGTCACGCTCGATGGTGATGCGCGTGCAGCTGCGGCTAGCAGCCGGCTCTTGGTCTCTTCGGCCGCGGGTGCTGCCTGTCGGCATCCGGAAGGTCACGTCGTATTCTCGGCGGAGGCGGAAGGTTCTCGGCGTGCAGGCCGGGCTCCACCACGTGGCGGCTGGCTTCTTGCTGTGCGGTGGCCGCGTCCAGGAGCTGCTGGACGCGCTCTATCATGCAACATCGCTCATCGCCCTCTAGGTGATCCAGTTTGTCTGTCGCCGCCTGGGCGACACGCATGTTCTCTAGGGGTGTGGCATAAATGGGGCGGTCGACCGCCAGCATGCTGGCGACGGCCGCGCCTCGCTGTCAAATGGTGCCCATCCGGCTGGGCTCGCCAGCAGACGGCGCGGTCGATCTCGCGCTGGTAGGCCTCAGTGAGGCATCTCATGGCGGCCAACTTTTTGGCACTCTCGACGAGTGTGATGCGGCAGGCCTCCAGCGTCTCGCCGTTGGCGTCTGCCGCGATGGGCGCAGACAGGTCCCGCATTGCCGCTTGCAGCTGGTCCTGGCCGGCCCTGCCAGAAGCTCCGTCGTGGCTGATGACCAGCACCTCCATGACGGTGCTGGTGCTGGCGTTGCTGGTCGCAAGAGGGAGCGGGTCGTCAATGACCACCATGTTAGCGGGGAAGGAATCGGGGGATGCTACGTCGAAGTTGACGAGCATCGGGTCGATGAAGCCAACAAACTCGATGTCGAAGGCGGGCTCGTTGGCGATGTTGATCTTGCCAAGGAGGTCGACGAGGCAGCTTTCGGAGCGGGCTGCTCCAGCGTCGGGCGCTGGCTCGTCGGAGAGGCGGATCTCGCCGACGAGGTCGGCGAGACTGCTCGCGGCGCAAGTGGCTTCCGTGCCGCACAGCGCGTCAACGCAAACGCATCCGGTGTGCCCAGCTGGCTGCGCTCGCTAGGAAGGAAGAGGGTTCCCGTCCAGAACGTGTTTCCGAACGACGGTGCACCTCGCCCCACGGTGGACGCCAAATGTCGAAGATGTGTAGCGACATATGCCAAGGCGTGGCTTATCATGGAGAGGGACAAGAGTACGTTGTCGGGCTCTAGAAGTGGGAGTGAGCGAGACTGCATGCGTCTGCGAATCTTACACAGGTTCGGGGCTCTCCTAGGAGATAACACCCCTAGTCCTGCTCTGCGGGGTCTCCACATGATCACTATCTCAACAAGGTAGCTACAAGCTTGCTCCTTGAGCTGTTTTGCTAGAGGAAGAAGAATAAGGCTAGCTCTACTCCACTCCCTCTACGTGGTGTGTGTGTGTTAAGGTTCTCAACCCTTTGCATGGGTGATCTGGGGGTTTATATAGGCCTACCCCAGGGATACACTGGTAATCCGGCCGGGTGTAGGACCCGACTGTCAGTGTCTCTAGTCGCCGGCTGCTGGGGCCCGCCGCCTGGTGGGCTCCGCCGGCTGTCGCGGAGCCGGCCGACAGGCCGTGCCCATCGCTTGCGGGTCTGGTTGATCGCCCCGTACTGTAGCCTTGCTACTGATGATGGATGTTTTGTCGGAGGAGCGTGGCTACAGTCCCGCTGCCAATGGCGCACAGACTTTGAGGGGGGAGGGTGCCGCCTGCTGGAAGGCGGCCCACCCCCTTTGCCGCCTGCTGGGGTCTTGCCTCCTTCTCGGGGCTTGCCGGCAGGTAGGGCCTGCCGCCTACGGGCCATACCGACAAGCCGTGGTGGGAGCGCCGCTCCTTATGTGGTAGGTGATGTCACAGGCTGTGTGGCTACAGTACCCCGCGGGGTGAGAGGCGTCCGCTGGGTACGCCCGTACTGTAGCCGCGCTCAGCCCCAGATTCGGGGGTGGTAGGCTACACTGTAGTCACGCCCCGTCTCATCGTAGTTAAGTGAGTGCAAACTTTGAGCGCATGAGAGGCCGCCTGCCAGAAGTCGGTCGTTTCGTAGCCGCCTTCTGGTATTTTGCCACCTCTTAGCAGCCGACCGCTTGGACCAGCCGGCCCAAGGAGGCAATCGTTCGTCCTGGAGGTGTGAGAGGCGCAGTCGGCCCCGATGTCTTGAAATACCACGGGGAGCTGATGAGGCTAGTGGTCATTTACTCCAACAAGTCGTGTGTGTGGCAGAGGCGAGGGGATTTTTCCATGCATCGGTCGGTCGGCCAGTGTCCAGCGTCGCCCCAATTTAAAACCGATTTAAAATTGTTATTTTTTGGCACTTTCATTTTTAGCATTATTTTGGCCCAAAACAGTCAGTGTAACACAAAACGATCTAATCGGAGAGGATTCTCCAGAAAATCAATCAAACAAGAGTGAGTGCCTTGATTATCCTTGATCAATAAAGCGTGACATTCTCTCAAAAAAAATCAATCAAACAAGTGAATTTGTCTTTTCTCATCACTTGGATTCTCCCATCTGAATTATTGACTGCTACCCTGAACCAAAAAGTACACAGGCCAAGTTACAACTGCTTCAATCGGACGCACAAACACACAAGGACACTTCACTTTCGCTGCTCCGGCACACTGCAGACTTCACAGTGGACTGAAAAAGTTAAGGAGAAAGATGCCAATTTTGGTTCGGATGGGTGGGCGAGCTAGCTAGGCGTTGCTACGGAAGGAGCCATAGCCCCTGGCGCTGGCGCGGAGGATGGTCTGGTGGTAGAGCGCTGCGATCGCCGCGCCGATGAACGGCCCCACCCAGAAGATCCACTGCATCACAGGTGAACAACAATGCACTGTCAGTTCAGGCAAGCTCGATCGACACTAAAATTCTTGCCCGATTCCATAATTTCCTACAGTCGGCACCAAGCATTTACCTGATCGCTCCAGGCTTTGTCGCCGTTGTAGATGACGGCGGCGCCGAGACTCCTCGCCGGGTTGATCCCCGTCCCGGTGATCGGGATGGTGGCCAGGTGCACCATGAACACCGCGAACCCGATCGGCAGAGGCGCCAACACCTTCGTTCATCAATCAACATATATCAAAACGAGTGTGCCAAGGCGATAGAAGAAAGGGTTCATCGGAGACAGGTTTGTGCGGCCGGTTACCGGGACGTGGGAGTCACGAGCGTTGCGCTTGGAATCAGTGGCGGAGAAGACGGTGTAGACGAGCACGAAGGTGCCGACTATCTCCGCGGCGAGCCCCGTACCGACCGAGTATCCGGCGCCGACCTCGTTCGCGCCGCCGCCGTGGCGCGCGTAGAGCCCGCTCTGGAACCCCTTGACGAGCCCGACGCCGCAGACGGCGCCGAGGCACTGCGCGGCCATGTAGAGCAGCGCGCGCACCAGGGACACCCTGCGCGCCAGGAAGAGGCCGAACGTCACGGCCGGGTTGATGTGCCCGCCGGAGATGCCGGCGGTGCAGTAGACGAGGACGAAGATCATGCCCCCGAACGCCCACGCGATGCCGAGGATACCCACCCCGCCGCACGCCGCGTCGGGGCCGGAGGCCGACGCGTCCGTCTGGTGCTTGTACCCGATGACGGTGGACACCGTGATGTAGAGGAAGAGCAGCGTGGCCACGAATTCCGCGATCACCGCGCGGTACAGGGACCACTTGCCGAGCTCATCGACGTCCACCAGCGGCGCCGGTGGAGGGTCGGAGTAGTCCCGGGCGCCGCCGGCCTCGAGGGCACCCACGTCGACCTCTTTGCCCATTTAACCTACTCTGTGGTTTTCTTGGAACTCTAGGATGGAAGCAAGGCTACTTGACAGGTAATTCTTGTGTTTGTGTTGTGGTCTCGTGTGGTTATGAACGGCGGTATTTATAGGGGTTTAAGCCTGTTGGGGCAAGAGGAAGGTTTAAGTTGGTATACATTTCCTTAGTTTTGGAAAGTTTTGTTTTTGAAATGCTTAATTTTGGAAAGTTGACGTGACCTAGCCTGTATACACAGAGGGTGTTTCCTTTTCTGGGGTTGACGCGTGTTCATACTTCAATATTCTGTTCTGGCCTCGTCCAGTCAATTTCCAACATTTATTTACGCTGAATAATCATATTTATTTGTTTATTACGAATTTACAGCTAGGCATCCTTTAAAGTTTTAACCCTCACAGAGCCGCAACGTTTTGAACCATCCAATTTCATATCCCGGACAATTCTGGCCGCCGGATTTTTGTGTTTTTTCATGATGTCTCACTTTTCTTAGAGGATTTCTTGTAGCGCCAACCAAACGTTAAATTTGATACAACTATCGAAACTTATGACCAATCATCTACTTTCCCTTGTTGCCTAAAACCCATTGGATATCCCCAGTTCCTCATTGATTGTCATCATAAAAAGATGAACCTACATATCATGGTACTTACTCAGAATGTTGATGATTAAATCGATAACCCAAAACTCAAACAAAGCTAATGATCATAGTTGGCTCCCGCCTTTTGCAGGCCAACAAAGAAAATCGATCCTTACACAATGGGTTGATAGATAACTTGTTTAAAAATCATTACCCGTGCTCCATCAAAACGACTTGACCTATTTGAAAAGAATCATTGTGTCACTCATGTTGAATGTCCGATCACCTTCGCTATAAGGCCGTCATACATACCCTCGCTAATTTGCTTACGCGCTACTAAGAATACCACGTAGTTGAAACAACAAAACAACTCTAGAGCAAAGAGCGGTCTGCACATTGTGTTTGCTAGAATCTCTGTTGGATTTAGCAAAATATGTTGGGGTTCACGTTGCATCCATTGATTAATGGTGTGTGGGTTTTAAAATATTCCACACTAGGTTTTCAAAGTTTATCATCGTAAATTCTGTGGACTAGTGATGTGGCAATGCGGTGTTTCTATTTTAGAATATCCAATACCTTATTATTTTGTAGAACAAAGAGATTGGGGTGGGGGGATACAAGTGATTGTAAATCATACAGGTTTAACTATGTATTATCATACATTTTTAGTTGTCCTATTACATTTTATGGTTTCCATCATGACAGTTTAATAAATAATATTTTATGATGTTCTGTTAGCTCAAGATTCATGCTTATTATTATGAGATATTATTATGTTACTTTGGTTGGCACTCCAATACTGCATTTGGACATCTGATGGCGCGTGAGGAGAGGTTTGCTGGACTAAACATACTCCTGCTAGCATTAGCATACTACCGACTATATTTTGATGCAATGTGTTTATGCTCGACAAGTTTAGCATCGTTACTTTGAGGCAATTCATGTTACTAGAGATGTTTCTATCTCAAATTGTGAAGACACTCTTGATGATTGGTGAATCAAATCTCGGGATTTTCTTCCTAAAGTAAGGAGGAAGGGTTTTGGTTCACTTGTTATGTTGTTGGAATTTATGCAAACAACACAACACCAGGTTTTTGCGAATATCAAATAAACACTCATTGTCGTAGCATTAACGATGCCAAATTTTGTGATATCTAGGTCCAATATTTAACTATTCTGGTATAACTGAAATATATGATATCTAAGTGTAGCATAGAGATCCCCCTTCCTCAATATTATATTTGGCCAGCCTGGTGTCGCTAATCTTGGTTGCTCCTCTTCGTCTCTCCTCCACTGGTGCTGCCGAGCAGAGTGGAGGAGGAAGGAGGCCGGTGTGTCCACCAGTGGTCTTTCTTGTTTGTTGTCTCCCTTTTCCTTTTATCAGTGTGAAGTGTATACCTCGCGGTTGCAATCCCTTTTTTTAGGTGCTCCGGGGGATAGAGCCAGGTATGAAGGGATTCTTCGACGGCTCTTCCCTTCAATAAGTTCACCCGGTTCATG